AGTAAATTTTAAAAAAAATATTTTTTTTATCCGATAGAAAAAGATGGCAAAATTCATCTCAGTAAACAAGTACATGTCAGGACTTAAAGAAGAACTAGACCCATTCACATATTTGAATGTTTACTTCTACCATTTTGAAAAGTCTTCATTCAGCAAAGTTTGGAACATCGAACCAGTTAAGTTTGCTATTGTGACTAAAAATGGTGCGAAATTTGAAGACTTAGACATAGAAGGTTTGTTAACAGTCAAAGAAAGTTTTGACAGAAGGTTCTCAAACCTTAAAGAAGGCAAAGCATACAAACTTGTTATACCTTATGAACCAAAGAAAGCAGACGACTATGAATATTATGAGTCTAAAGTTGTAGAAGTTCAAGGTAAATTGGGTAAAAAGATTTTAGAGTCTAAGCCAGTGTTTACTCCTAAAGAGGAAGAGAACATTGACATTGACCCAGAAATGTTCTAAAAATAAAATTTTATTTTTACATGTCAAATTTCTTTTTCTCTGGAACTGGTTCAGGTTCTTTCTTCTCTTCTACTTTCTTCTCTTTCTTTTCTCTCTTCTTCTTTTCTGGTGGAGTTATGTCAAATTTCTCCGAACCATATTTATGTAAAAGTTCTTTGTCCTTTAATAGCTCTTCTATTCTGTTTTCTATTTCATCTTCAAGAACAGCGCATGTGTCTTCTTTGCATTCTAAGAACTTTTGTTGGACTTCATCTTTCCAATCGGCGTCATCTCTGTCAACAAGTCTGTCATTGACAAATTTTAAGACTGCTCTGCTTAATGTTTTATGGTTCTTGTCATATTCCCAGAAACAGAACTTTAGAACAAATTCACCTTTCTTGTTTACACTATGTAAGATTTTTATGGTCGACAGATGTTTGCTGTCGAAAAGCTTGTCTCGAATATAGATAGCGAAATCGCTAGACATTTTCTAAAAGATAAAAATTTTAATTTTCTAAAAATATGTTAGAAAAAAGTTTGCTGACATTGACAAGAAATTTGAGAATGTTTTAAACAAGAACAAGAGGAAGTTAGAAAATGCTCAGATAAAACCCATACATGACAAGTTCTTATTTGCTCAGAATGGTATAACAGGTCTAATCGCACACCTGGGTCGGGTAAGACTTTCACTTATCTTAAAATGGCTGCACAACAACAAGAACTAGATGAGAAAGAACCCATTCTATGAGTTAGTTCATTTGTAGTACTTCTGGTCAATTTGACCAAACCGTCAATTCGTTCAAAGATATTATAAGAAGTCTAAGTAGTATGTATAAAGGATACTGAGTTGTTAGATTGGATAAAGAAGTACCAAAGAAGAGTTTTGAAGTATAATGCTATAAATGAGTATATAAATTCTAAGTTTAAAGACCCAAATGAGGAAATGCAGAGAATATTAGAGAAGAAACACTTCAGAAACAAACAGAAAGAGATAGAATACATTTCGAAGAAATTGCAATCTTACGATTGGAAGACATACCCTCACAGATGTCTTCTTATCTTAGATGATTTCGCCTCTCATCCTTTGTTAAAGAACAGAGAACAAGATATGTGTCGAATTCTTAAGAAGCTCAGACACTTTAACATCTCAGTCGTAATATGTGTACAGACAGCCAAGAGTTTAAGTAAGGATGTAAAGAGAATACTTACTGACATTGTACTTTTCCCCGGATTGTCCGAAGACGATTTCATGGAACTTATGAAAGAGTCCATGGCAGGTAAGTTTGACAGACATGAACTATGGGAGAAGTATAAAGTCATACAAGACCCTCATACTTCTTTCAGAATTCATATCTACGCAAACAAAGTTCAAATTGTAAAAAGTCAAGCTTGAAAAATGTAAGTGTTTAGTCTTAGTAAGTCTGTTGTGGTGCTGGGGCTGTCGGTTCTTCTGGCTTTGGAAGGCATTCAGGAAGAGGGACGTGAGACATTCGTTTGTGTCCTGTCGGAAGGAAGAACTTTTCCTGTCGGAAGGAAGAACTTTTCCTGTTGGAAGGAAAAATTTTTTCTGTTGGAAGGAAAAACTTTTCCTGAAGTTCGACCAAAAAGTTCTCAATTTTCGAAAATTTGAATGGTTTACGGACGGACAACTGGAAAATTTTTTCCTGTCGTCGGGAAAATTTTTTCTTGTCGGAAGGAAATTTTTTTCCAGTTGTCGGGAAAATATTTTTCTGTCGGAAGGAAGGACTCGGAATGCCAGAAGGATTTGACAAGGCAATTTACTTTATAGAGCTACCTGAGCCATCTGAAGTCAAGCTTGAAAAATAAATGGTTCATCTACTCTACTTGTTTGAAGTTGTCAAAATACTCTGTTATTTTTTCCTTTAACAATGGCAAATCTTCTTTGAAGGTAAGTATTGTACAACCTTTAATATCATAGTGTGTTTGAGGTAACGTATCTTGAACTATTTGTTTCACATCTTCATTTGGGGTCATTGAAATCGGTAAGTTTTCGCGATAGAACCAATTTCTGTCAGATTTGTAAATCTTAGCAAGGTCGTAAAAGCTTTTGTTGTTTCTTCTGACTAAATGCAACATAACCATATCTTTATCTTCTTCATTTTCCATCTCTTCAGTATAAATCATATACTTATAGTTCTTTTCCTTTCCTTTTGGTACCGAACGTGGTATTCTTTTCTGAATGCTTTTGTCTTTTGCTTGAAGTTTCTTTTCCATCTCTTCACGTTCTTGTCTATGAATTTCGTCAAGAAGTTTGTAAACATGCCATGCATAACGAGGAGAAGCCCATATTGCAACAGCATTTACTAAAAGTCTATGAACATACCAGCCTCTTAAATTTATTGGCAAATTTTTACGATTTTCATGTGTTTTATGCATGGCCGGAAAAGGTCGGTCTAGAGAAATTTCACTCAAAAGTTCTTGTGTGCTTTGGTTTCTGAACCAGTCGTCTGCGTGTTTAGTATCTGGAGCAAAACATGCTGTCAAAATACTTTGCATTTGGTACATATCGTCTTTGACCGAACGAATGAGACGGAGATGTTTGTTAAACTGTATGTACTCGTATTCTTCATTTATAGCTTCATGGACTATAACTGTTGTTGTGTTCTCTGTTGTTGACATATCTGTCTTTACATACAAAATAAAAAAATAAATAAAAATAAAATTAGCGTTATTTTCTGACTTTCACAAAAGACCAAAAATAAACGCTTTACATGTATTTTTCAGCAACTTCGTCAAATAATTTTATAGCTTTATCTATCTCATCTACTTCAAACGTTTCTTTACCTTTTATGGGAGCACCATACATTTTCTCAAACTTTTCAAGTAGTTCTGTTTCTGCAGCTCTCATATCATTAGCAAACACAACCTTGACTCTATTGACTGTACTGTCATATCTTTGAGTTATATTATATGTTCTTCCTATCTTATATCTTTTTGTATTGAAGTCCTTCGGTTTCTGAACGATGTAAAGTAAGCCTTCACTGCAACGTTCCGTATCGAATGAACCATATGTTATGAAGTTATATCCAACAACTGGGTCTAACCATAACAAAACTATTGGTATAAGACTTTTGTCGATGAGATATGCTGTAGTTCCATAGAATCTTACCGATATCATAAGCTCAGGATTTCTTGTCAAAATTTTCTGAGTTGAAGCATTTCTAACCCGGTCGTGTGTTTTCTTTCCAGATGGAAATATAATGTCTGACAAAGAATATTTGTTGTATTTCTTTGAGTATCTTACGTTTAAATCACCTATTCTAACCACTTTGGTGTCATTGTCTATCTTTTTAACTGTTTCAAACTCAATGTTTGACATTACTGTCCTTACATACAAAATAAAAAAATAAATAAAAATAAAACTAATTTTATTTTTTCTATCTTAAGGAAATTCATGAAAATTGGTCATTTTTCAGCAAAAATATATTTTAGGTGAAGAGGTGAGATCTCACCTGTTTTCTCACCTCTTTTTTCACCTCTTGAATTTGTCAAGACTTCTTCGTATATGTTTTGTCAAAACTTCTTCGTAAATGTTTTGTCAAAACTTCTTCGTAATGAGCGTAAATCAGACAAAAATAATGTTTAGGTGAAGTGGTGAGATCTCACCTGTTTTCTCACCCGTTTTTTCACCTCATGAATTTTCATGATTTCATCGTAAATGTTTTGTCAAGACTTCTTCGTACATGTTTTGTCAAGACTTCTTCGTAATGAGCGTAAATCAGACAAAAATATATTTTAGGTGAAGAGGTGAGATCTCACCTCTTTTTTCACCTGTTTTCTCACCTGTTATTTTATAAGCGTTTTACATGAATTGTACGATGTATATTTGAAATCCTAAACAGTTTTGTAGCTTCTATTTCTTCTGTCAGTATGTCAAAAGTTTTAACTATGCCGAAGGTTTCTTTATACTTCTTCTTGACGTCAGATAGAAGGAAATCGTCAGCAGTTGGATAGTTTTTGTTCAGAAATGTCAACATGTCCATTTTATCTTCTGCTGGTTTCTCTGCTTCTTTCTTTAAGTCTGCATAGTCGTTTCTCATACGTTCTATCTCTTTGACGGAGTAGTTATATTTCCTAATTGCCGCTTTACATTTTGAACATTGCGGGTTCATTTTTGCGTTATATTCTGAAACCTTACCTGCTAAAACAACTAAGGCGTCAATGGTTTTCTTTAACGCAAAAGCTGCTGGTTTTATCTGTTCATTCACATACCTTACCTCTCTATCTTTATCTCTTATCTGCCAAACACATTCAGCAACTAACGAAACAAAAGTTGTCGTAGTCTTAAATTCCTCAGCTTTATATATGTCGCAGAACTTCTTATTATACCCATGTCGCAATCTTTGTCCATAACCTTATGGTTGCAATGAAATTCCAGAAACTTCATAGTTTACCTTTCGTATGAACTGTCTTTTATTTCTACT